TGTCATCCTAGTAACTACTAATTCATTGTGCAATTTATATTAATGGTTGTAATAAATAAGAGAAAATTATATTTTTATTTAATTATAAGCTACGGTATAGTTTCAAAGGAGGACGGGTACATTGTTGAACAAGCCGTCCTCGGGGACGGGTTAAAATTTCTGAGCTTTTTCGAGCCCTGTAATTTTGTGATATTACCCCAGGGAAATATCTAAAGAGTATTCTCTCTAATGTTAGAGCATATAAAAAGAGACACTTTTTTTCCAATGTTTGACAAAATGGTAACACTAGCCGAAATGGTTTTAGCACGAAGCTACGACAAAATGTTTAACTGCTAGTTATCTACTATTTAACTACTGGTTTCTTTTATCATTTTCAATCGAATTAAAAAGTTCTTAATTGTATCCTAGTTCTTATTGTATCCTAATTTTAGTTCAATTAAAAGCTGAAATAAATTTTTTAAGGGTAACGTGTGTTAATGAAGTACATTTCATAAAGTTACGATTTATTTTAAATATTTTTATTTCTTACCTTTCTTCCTGCTTTTAAATTTCAGTGCTTACTGAACACTTATATATAAATAGATAAATGCACATTTACTTCTTCTAAACTTAAGAATAAATTCCAGAAAAGCGTTATATTAGTGTAGATTTTTCCTTTTCTCTGTTTATACTAGAACTTATTACGTAATAGACTGAAATAAACAAGCGTAAATAAAAATGTGCCGGAAACAGTTTTTTTTCGTAAAATAGATATCTAAGGTGAAGAAAACCGTTAGGCCAAGAGAAACTTTTGCAAAAGCGTCATCATCAAGTCAGAGTAGTCCTTTTGAGTATTGGATTTCGTGAATATTGCCTTATTAAGCTACATTTTATTATAAATATATTAAATTGCTCTTTTACAATCATCAAGTTATAATTACTTTTAAAATTAACTTTATACAGTACTGAAATTAGTCAGCATATGCAGTACAAATAACTTAATTAGTAAAATTTTAAAAGCAATATTAAGATTTAACTTTTCGCAATATTGCTAAATAATCTTTACAGCAAAAAATGTTTTGAGAGTTTTTATTAGTGACTAAAAATTAAATAAGAATTTCAAAAATACGTTTGTAGATAAAGTTGCAATGATTATAGAGCAAATATTAGGTTCAAATTTTATCCCATTAAAGCCAGATCTGGGAAAGCAAATGTGTGGAATAAAACATTTTGTCATCGATGTTTTGTACTTGGAAACCACGTTATTATACACAGCCATGAAGTTGTAACGGTCTTCTCGAGTTGCAGGTACCCAATAGAATAATTTTTATTTTTGATTTATAAAACTGTTATCATCAAGAAAAAAGGATTTCGAAATAATCATAGGTTGACGAAGCGGCAACGAGCAAGAGGTGAAACTCCTTAGTATTTAACTAAATATTAACCGACGCTATTTAATATTGTTTGGCAAGATTTATTTTTAAAAATAAAATACATAAACAAGCATCCAGCTCTAAAACTCTTTGGTATCTAAAATCTATACATCAAATTTTCAACAGAAGATGTTCCATGGTCGAACACTGAAAAACACATGCATTGTACTATAGCCGCCACTTCTTTCATATTCGTCATACAAACATTTTGGCACAGGAATAGGAAGAAATCGCTGAAACATGAAAGATAAGCAATGTAATTAGAAAAGATCTTTTTTTACAGCCACTCAAACTCAAGTTTGACTCTTTACAACTCAAGTTTGACAATGTAAATTTATGGAAATATACATTACCAAATTATTTTAGCCAATAACACGCAGGGATTATAATAAACGTTTTTTTTAATCTGTTCAAAACAATACTATTTTAAAATTGATGGCCCATATAATGCTATAGTTTACCTTCAAAAGAAATTCATCATTTTTATTTTTATAAAAATATTAAAATTATCCAACAAGCGAAAGGGTAGTACTTCGTGCTATGTAGACTAAAGCAAAAAACAACGCGAATAAACCAAAAATGAAAGTGCATAAATAAATGAACTTCATTCATTTGTGTTTTATTCCAATTTTTTGTTTTAATATCAAAATTAGCATTGAAATTTTGGAATAATAGATTCAAGAGCGTGATAAATAATATAAAATTATACCAAATGTAATTTCAAATACTATCGGTGTTCAATTCGTATCGTAAAAGGGGTGGAGCGTTTTAACTGTTTATGTTTGAATGTTTATATTTGCCTCATTAGTAAGGTGATCCTTGAAGTTAGGAAAAGGTTCAATTATGTAATAAGATCTGCTTTTTGTATGTTTGATAAAAGAAAAATCTCTCGCACGCTTCAAAAACGGTTTTTGTACATATTCAGAGAAAGATAAGACCTTTTTATAAAGGAAATACTTACGTTTTGGCTTTAAGCTCGATTAACAGTTACTTAAATACGTCACAAAATGAAGATCTGACTATAGTTGTCCATTTACAAAAAGTTGGGATGTTGAGTAAATTGTAAAAGCTAATTTAAGTTTTTCATTAAATTCATTTTGCAGTTGTTATATATGGGTGACGGTATTTGTGTAGAAGAAATACTAGTTTCGCTTTCATGTGAGATTTCCAGGATTGCAAGATAGTTAAAGAGTTTTGAAATCGCTTCCTATTGTGTTATTTGTTTTCAGATTAAGGGAAGTCAGAGAGTGGAAAGAAAGGCATTCTACTTTTCTATTTATCAATATCTATCAACCAAATTTGGAAACAAATCCCAAAGTTTGACCAAAGAATATAGAATTGACTTCTGCTTGGTATCTTGGTTTTGCCTATAACAGTTGATTTTGCTATGTGTTCAGCACAGCTCTAGAAAAATATTCTTTCGTAAAAAAATTGCTAGAAATGTATCTCGGGATTATTAGACAGAATATAGCATTCAGTATCATAATGTTTGCTGTTCTGAAATTTTACATACCGTTTGTTTCATTAATCTTGTCGTAGCAAGATTAATGAATGTCGTAGCAAAATTGCATGCCAGCAATTTTGATCCTCCCCCGTTTTGGTAGCCCGACGACCTGCTCGCAAAGTTGAACACCTTAAGAATAAAATAACGAGGATCATTTTGCTTCATTCGACATAATAAACTGCCTTGGTCTTATAAGAGGTTATCTGTCATCTGATCCCATGCCAGTAATGAAATTTCTATTTGTCAACTACCTTATGGAGTGATATTTGAGCAAGTCAGATTTAAAGGACATAGATATAACAAGAACCGACATTGTGGTCCTCCACGGGTGGATTAAAGTGGTCATCAACGCGCTCGCTGACCATTGATAGTGATGCTTGACTTCGGTGAACTACTGGGAACCATATCTTGCAGTCAGTTCTCAGTGGGACTCTACAGTAAGAGATTTAATAGAGGAATGAGAGGTAAAGTTTTTCTCTGGTTTAGGTCGGATGAGTAATGCTCTCAATCCTCTCCGTAAGAAATACTCTTGTTTCCATAGCGACGGACAGCATGAGACCATTTGCTGGGAAAGGTTTTAATGAAAGCTGGATTGGTGATCAAAATGGGCTACAGGTGGCGTAGAGCTGAACTCTCTACCTATGGCAACACTTCACGTGCTTTCCCCATTAGCGTGGGGAGAGACGTATTCAAGTGTTGCCTAGATGACGTATTCAAGTGTTGCGATGGCCTATAGTTTACTATCAAGTTTAGTCTAAAAGAAGGGAAAAAACGGTTGCTTTCAATGACTAAATAATTGAATTTGACACTTACAGAGAATGTGGAGGAAGGTGGATGCTCGAATCTTCTTGAAAATTCATAATTTCCAAATGATGCGAAGGCAAAACTAGTCAATTTTCCTCGATTGTAAATTGCCGTGAATGGGAAGAAATCAGAACAAGTCATGTTTTCGTGAGTATTGTACCAATAATGAACACCTAAGGAAATAAAAAGAAATATTTTTTACTCACGTGATTACATATAAACCTGATTTAAATAATTTCGTCTTTGGCATTCAAATTATTCTTTAAAATATATTGTTGCATATTAGGATAATAGGGAGCATTCACACTGCATGTCATTGACTCAGACGCATTTGCGAATATTTAGAAACTTCATGCAAAATTCATCGTAAGACTTCCGGGTTTGATTTTTACACCTATGCTTGAGAAAGCGAACCGTCCAATATTATTATATTTGTAGTGTTTATGAAAAAAGTTGTTTACGAAAAAAATTGAAAGCAATACAAATTTTTACATCATTTTAATGAATGTAATATTCTACAGCAAAATACAAAATTTGAACGAAAACGGTTGAATTTTGAAGTACCTTTAAAATTATATTTCTCAGGAACTATTCGACCAATTTTGTTCAAACCTCATACCAATTTTCAGCTAAACTTTAATTAAAATGATGCAAAAGTTTGTATACCTTATAGTTCAAACTTTATTTTTAGACTATTATTTAATAAGTTAATAATAAATAATTATTAAGCCTTTTTGCTCGGAATTATCTTTGAATAAACGAATTTCATAACTCAACATAGTGCATAAAATTTTCAATTCGCCAAAAAAAATCTCGATATATGGCGAAATGCGCATAAAGTATTGAAGTCCAAACTTTAAACCGCACTCCTGACCAAACTAATGGAGCTATATTTTCCAGATTGTGATTTCCCTCTCATGTTATAGGGATCCATTGAAAAAAAAGTCATGTTTATTCAGAGAAAATATGTTTTTGAGTCAGATTTCGTAAATTAAATTATCATCTGCATTATTTAATTAGCATATTTGAGGTAACTCCTTTGAACCGTTAAGTTTGTGTCCTATCAAGTGAAAATCCAATCATTCGATCAAAAGTTATTCAGGGTGTTCCTTTTTTTTTTTAGAACAGTACATTTTAAATACTTTAACAACTTTTTTTAAAAATTCAGTGCATACCTATCAACTTGCACAATTGTTAAAAAAGATTTGACAAATTAAGTTCGGAAGAATTTTTTAAAACAAAACTATTAATACATCTATAAGCATGCCAACAAAAATATTTTATCTACATATTAAATTATTGATGGTAGTTTAAATTTTTTTTAAACCTTTAACTTCAAGATTTAAGCACCAAAATGCTAATGTTGCTACTATCAAGAAAATTATTTGCTCTTTTAGTTGGCAGCTCTGCTAGTACTATCCAAAATTTGGTAATAAATCTTTTAGTACTTACCCATAGTTCTGAAGCATCCACCTTTTACCCAGTGAGTATCTTCCATGTCTTTTTCATACAAAGGCACTTCGAATGTGTTTTGAATTGGATTACTTCCATTTTGCAAATAGAGACCCGTTCCTACTCCTTGCTCATCGTATTGCTCCCTTGTTCGTCCTTCATTGCAGATTATATCTAGAGGAAAATCAATTCGTTGAGAAGATGTAAAGCATCATCCTTAAATAATATGTTTTCGTATTATTGTCAGTTTAGGGAGAAATTCATGGTCAAAACCAGCCGCAGGGCGGCTAAATATAACAAATGGTAATTTATAAATTCTTTGCCAGTCGCCACCCAAACATTTTTTAGTGTTATTTTTTTTAATAAATAAAAAAAATTTAGAATATTCTAAAAATAATTTTATTCTCAGCTGGTTTAAATTTTTAATTCATTTCAGAAATAAACCTCGTGATGTAATCATGCTTTGAGAAATTTTTTAAAAATGCTATTATCAACAGGTATCGTTTAAATTTTTGAAAAAGTGGTCGCATGCCTTATAAATTTTCCATTACAACTTTTTTCCGACCAGTGGCGAAATTTCATAATTTTGCCCTGTAGTTGTCAAGAGTCAAAAGTATGCAAACTGAACGTCGCAAATTAGTATTCCGTGCTGAGAAGAAATAAAAACGCTACCGAAATCCATCGAAACTGTGTTAAAAAAAGACTGGTATAAGAGCATCTAATAACACAAACAGACTAATAATCTTCTGGTATAAGAATATCTAACACAAGCAGACTAATAATCTTCTGGTATAAGAACATCTAACACAACCAGACTAATAATCTTCTGGTATAAGAACATCTAACACAAACAGACTAATAATCTTCTGGTATAAGAACATCTAACACAAGCAGACTAATAATCTTAGTCTTACCGCTTTTAAACTAAGTTTCCAGAACTATCATTATGTAGCCAAAATGATCGCCAAGTGAAATGTCGCCAAACCGAGACTTCCATAGAAAATTCCAGGCATTATTTTTTCTCTAAATTACGCCCCTTTCTTGCAAATTTTCTAATTGAACTGCTTATTTAGGATGGATCTATCTGAAATATTAAGCCTCATAAAAAATTTATACGCATATTTACGAATTCGTTACAATATCTTTTTTGTTCCCTAACGAGAACATCGACTTAGCCATCCGAAGATCTATTTTGATTATAATAATGTTTAGTGTTTGGTATTATAAAAGAAAATAAGTAATAGAATAGAAAAAGATTTTGAAATTTTGAAAAAAAGAAAGGAAGATGATGAAAACCTAAAACAAGCAGGCATTCAAATATTGCGTGGATATTAAGGGCGATAGGTTTGCTTACTTAAAACGCTCTTTATCGGCAAAAAATCTCAAAGTTGTAAAAGAAATTAGATTTGGAAAAAAATTCTTATGAGTTGATTATTTTTAGTTGAAGGAGGCCCAAAAATACCCCCATATGTTTACTGAAATATTCGAACTTACTTGGATCCACAAAATAAGATGTGAGGAAATAAACTTCCTCTTCTCCGAGAACTTTATCTAGCTGACAGTAGCGTAGCTAGGTAACCAAGGGCCCTGGGGCAAATTAAAAAATGGGGCCCCACTGCTATGTAAACTGATTAGGTTTTATCAAATAAAAATATGAAATATACAAATACTTTAAAAATGCTAAGCTACAAAAGCTCTTTTTTGTGCACTGCAGGGAGGTAATAAAAATATTAAACAATAACAACATAAATTACAATTAATACTTGGTGTAGGTTTGGCTAATAAAACGAAATAGAGAAGATTCAAGGGTTTATTATATAAAGGTTGGGCCTACCAACTGACTAAATAATAATTATATTTACAATTTTTTCCTAGCTTTAGTTTTCGCAAAAGTATCAATGACTTCGTTTAAATCCAGGCTTGATGCGGTTTTGTTTTCAATTGCTATTAACGATAAATGTCGGAGTCGAGTTTGGCCCATATTATTTCTTAAATAATTTTTTATTATTTTTAATTTGCTAAATGACCTTTCAGCTGCTGCAGAAGTGACAGGAATTGTAAAGAATAATAACATTGCTGTAAATACTTCCGTTAGGTCGCATTCTAGCACTCCATATTTGCTCATTATTTCCTTACATAATTGGTGAACAGTCCATGCTTGAGTTAGTTGAGGTAAAACTAGGTGGTAAATATTAATAAATTGAAGTGAAAAACTAGGGCCTATTATATCTGAATATTTTCTTTGGAATTCGTCACACTTTTGTAATAAAGTTGCTTCATCAACATGTAATAAAAATGTTGGTGTTAGAAAATCGAATATATGACAGACTGCACTCATACCAATAAAACGTGTATCTAATTGAGATATTACTGTGTCTAGTACATTATTGAAAATCTCAATTTTAAATATTTTTTCTCGGTTTGGAAATCGGTGATCAGCAGCTAATTCATCAAAATGTTTTTTAACTTTTCTTTGCCTTTTTTCTTGAAAATGGGTATCAATACCATATTTTCTTGCAGTTTCACTGGCTTTGCACTTGAATAATTCGAAATCATTTCTATAAATTTGCAACTTTGCTTTGGTCTCTGCTAAAACTTTACTCGCCTCGCCCAAATTGATGTCGCATTTTTGTAAAGTTTTGGATGCATAATTGATGTCGTTCAATACACTGTGCATGAATTCGCAAAGCAACACGAACTCGAAATTTAGCATTTTTGTTTTAATACTCTCTGCTTCACTACGCTCATCTTTATTAGGACTCTTTAGAACTATTTCTGATAATGCTTTGATAATATCAAAATAACGAAGTTTTATTGCAGATATCGTATTGACCCTACTGGACCATCTAGTCGGATTTAGTTTTTTTAGAGTGGTGTCCGATTCGCCAGTGAATTTTGACAGTAGATCCCAACGTTTGATGCTGTTTCCGAAAAAGTTATACAAATCTTGCAACGTTGCGAAAAAAATCTGTATTTCCACACAACTGCTAACGGCATCATTTATCACCAAATTTAAATTATGAGTGGCACAATGTACGTACTCTGCGTTAGGCTGGATATCCTTAATATGTTTTTGTACACCATTATACACACCACTCATCACACTGGCTCCATCATAGCCTTGCCCCACACATTTTTTTAAATCAATATTTTTGTCGATAAATAATGTTGTCACTTGGTTGACTAAATCTACTGCGCCATGTTTGATGGCTGCATAAAAGCCTAGAAACACTTCTTTTACTTCTATATCAATTGGCTGTCCATTTTCCGATCTGGTTATTACTGCATACCTCACAACAATGCTTAGCTGATCTACCTTCGATATGTCCTGTGTCGTATCCATTATGATGGCAAAAAACGGTGACGCTCTAATTTGTTCTAGTAGATGGGTTTCGAGTTTGGTCCCCAAGCTCTCAATCATTTCATTTTGAATTGTTGCACTCAGATATCTTGTAGATCCTAAAAACATAAAAAAACACAATTTCAAAAAAGTCCTGATATTAAACAGTTAATAATTATAAACAAAATAAAACGAAAAAAAAACTTAGAAATAATTATTATTACCTTTGGGCATATCCAAAACTTGCCGCAAAATGTGATCATATCGGGCGACAAGCTCTACAAAGGACAGAAAATTTCCGTGGTATCCTTTCTGACTTAAGTCTTCTTGATGTCCTCTCAAAGCCAAAGAACTCTTTGCTAGGGTAAGTATGATATCGAATAACCTTTGAAGAACCATTTTCCAAAATGATGCTTCTTTGCGAATTTCATTTTCAATTCCTTGTCGATAGTATTAGTATTTTTTTTTTTCCAAAATTCATACACAGCACATGCTTCCGAATGGCCACTCGAACAACTGTGTTGTTTAATTCTTTCTGATAAATGCTTCCAATCTCGAATTCCCGTACACCAAACATTATTCCTTTGTGAAGCAAATAACCAGCAGGGTTGACAATAGGCAGCGTCTAGTATTTTGGAATAACACAACCAAAAACGATTAACTGGCCCATATTTAGAACACGAAACGTAGTACGATTTTGAAAAACACCTATTGTTCTGGTTGATGTCTGTTGGAAAAGGTCCTGAAGGCTGTAAAGGCCCCATATCAAGAATTTGACGTTTTTCGTTATCACTTAATATCTTGTTCGTGAAGTTTCCCAAGTCATAAGAAGATTTGTCGTACACATTTTCGAAAAATGTAGAGGTCTGTGGTTCCTCCAAACCCTCCGCTCTTATGTGTGTCATGCAAACATCATCCACGTTCACATGATCGGCGGCGGAGGTATCTCCAACTGCAATAATTGTCGAATCTTCTTCAGTAGGCTTCTCAACCAACACTGCAGTTACCACATTATTTGAGTCACTATCAATAGAAATATTTTGGCCAGATGTACTTGCAGAAGGCTGACTAAAAAACTTGTCAATTTTGGGCAATTTTTGTTTACTATCTTCTCTTTCTTGGCGTTGTTTGCGTTTAAATGCACCACTGGGTTTCTTCTTTTTATCCATAATTTTAGTTTTCTAATTTATTTAAACAATACAATATTAGATTGTGCTCGAGTAGGTAGGTACTCACTGTTCACTGACGACGTTAAAAGTAAAATAAAAGGAAAGAGAAACACAATGATACGCTACAAGTGTCGTTGGGGAATCCCCGGAAAAAAAATTATCACCGTTAGTGTTACCACATTTAACGGTGGAGACTGTAATGGTTGGCAACTGTTTGGCGACCTTTTAAGGCGCACTTGGCGCATTTTGTCATCCCGTCGGAGGGATGCGAGAGAGAGAAAGGTAGATGTATGTTTGATATAATCGGGAGAGGGTCTCCCTTGGTATTCTAAGAGCTGGAAGCTCTTACTGGAAAACAATGCCTATTTCTTTTGTTTTTAAATAAAGTTAAGTTTTATTGTTTTAAAAATCTGGTCTGCTTATTTATTGGAAAGGAAAGGCATTACAGAGACCATGAACGATCTCCTGCCCGCGGACCTGAATTAATGTACCTACTGCAGGTGACTTGCATTTTTTCACGATATTTCTCGTTATACAATGAGCTGTAGCCGAAATCTATAGATTTGACACGATGTATTGACTTAACGGACATCAATATGAGTGGTAAAATCAAATAAAATTGAACCACTATATTGACCAGTACAAAAAAGTTTTTTGACATTAGCTTACTTACTCCTGATACAGCATTAATTTTTTAACCGTTCTCGAAAAAAAAAATCTTAACTCGAATTCACAATAAAAAGCACAGCGATGAATAATAAACCGCACATATCACTATCCGTCAAATTGACAACACTGCCAACCTACAGAAAGAATTTAGGGGAATTCCCTAGGCATAACTTTTGAATTTCTCGCAACTGAGTTGTCATGATTAAAGTGGGGTTGCAACCTGTCATATTTATTTTGAAAATGGGAGAAATTTCCAAAAGTTCAGTTCGATCGAGATTTCTGGTAAGGATACGAGGGCCCCCTGAGCTTGAGGGCCCTGGGGCACTGCCCCGCCTAGCCCCTCGGTAGCTACGCCACTGCTAGCTGATAGGCCGAAGATTTCTCAAAAGAAAATGTTGTGTTCACTCTGTCAACGTCACTTTTTGGAATCTAGAAAAGAATAGGAATTTTTTTTGCACTTTTTTAACACAGAAACATTAATATAAATGAAAACATAAGTAAAGTTTTGTGTTTCGTAGCCACCGCTTTTAATCTAGATATTTAGAATTTTCTAAAAAAAAGTTTGCACATAAATTAGTCGCAAAATGATATTTGAGAAATGATATTTACAAATGACAAGGAAAGAAAAACACAATCAAACTATATCGAATCACTAAACTGGTTTTAAAGCAACGAAATAAATTTGATTGTTGAGGAAATTTACAGGTGATTCAAATAATCACATGAGCCATTCCACGATACTAGATTATCCATTTAGATAAGATCATCTCTGTAACTTCATTAACTATTAGTCTATTCAAATGAATATTTTGAAGTCAAACATTGAATCAATATCGAATGCCCAACTGGTGTTGTGGGTTTTTCACTTGTCTACCTCGGCTGAAGCAGAGGTTCGATTCTCTGGGCTAAAATGTTTGATTGTGTTGTGCTTCCACCGATCATGTCTTAATGATTTGGAATCCCATTTAATAAAATGACCTCATAAAATTATCCCTGTGCTAGAAAATAACGCGCGGGTTGGATTATTACCGCCACTTTCTTCTATCATCTTTGATATAAATTATGGAACAGTTAGTATAGTGTGCCTATACGTAAGTATTGGCTTCGGGTAATCAAGTTGGAATCCCTGACCGTCACCAGTTAGTTAGTTCTATTCAAAGTTCTAGTTCAGTTAGTTCTATTCAAAGCGTATTCTCCTGATACATTTGATTAGTTTTGTTTCCAATGTTGTTCTAGTTCTACACTGTTTTAGTTCTAAACTACGGATTCACGAGTAATGGTATTCAAAATACAATATTGGAGCATGCGCACTCTACACTTTCACAATTGAAATTGAAGAGCAGATAGTAATCACTATCTCCAGAACACACTCCCTAATCGCCCAACTCTAATTGAACTTTTTCAGCACGTTGAAACTGCCAGAGACATACGATTGGATTCCGAAGCACATCAGAGAAATTGCAATTCAATTATAAACACCTAGCATTTAGCAAAGGGAATCGAATCTAGGCCCAAGCAGTGGTTAGTTAAGATCAAACCCACCACATTCTTTACACCCACCTGGGCTACGCTTTATTAAAGGAAAACCACTAAAACAATAGTGAGATTTTGTACTTTTCCCCGTCTGGTTAACTAGGTACACGCTGCGCAAGCATAAATAAGCTGCGTGATATAAATACTAGTTCGTTGGAGATTGAGCAGTGGAGGTTTATTTCATTAGACTGTATAAGTTAACCAGCCGATTGCATAACCTTCATTAATGAAATTAACTCAAACTCAACAATGTGAACGAGTACCAATCTAAAACTAGCGGTAAAGAGTTTCTCTTTACTTAACAATTAAATTTTGATTAAAAATAAAATTTTTGAATAAACACATGAGAAGGAAAAACTAATACAGACGCATATTACATATTTCCTGATAATTTATTGTACTTACTCCATGCTGAATTCCGGCAATGAAACCATTTTTATCATATATTAGTACTGCCGCTGTATCTAGTCCTTTCATGTATCGATGACCGAGGAATTTTCCTTCTGAAATAAGTTTCCAATAAGAATTTATGCATAAATAATTTTTAAAAATTTCTTTAATAAAATCTTGCAAAAAAATCTTTAATTGTATGTAATATACGCCTTTAAAAAAAAACTAAGTCTTAAAATGTACGGAAAACTTCTATTGAACATCTTAAAAATTTCAAGTTAGTTAAATGCATAGTTCTAATAGCATGAGAGCTTATAACTGTCTGCACTTCAGGAAATGTAAAAATGATAGTTCTAATAGCATGAGAGCTTATAACCGACTGCACTTCAGGAAATGTAAAAATGATAGTTCTAATAGCATGAGAGCTTATAACCGATTGCACTTCAGGAAATGTAAAAATGATAGTTCTAATAGCATGAGAGCTTATAACCGACTGCACTTCGGGAAATGTAAAAATGATAGTTCTAATAGCATGAGAGCTTATAACCGACTGCACTTAAGGAAATATAAATGACATTAAATAATTTAGAAGACAAATTGTTTAAGTGCTGTTATGTGAGATACTATGAAGTCTTATTTAAAAGGGGAAAAAATCGTAAAAAAAAAAAAAACGCATTTTATTCATTCTTTTTTTAGGCACAAACCTCACATCTGTATACCAAATATGAAAATTTTTATATAAATTCGATGTAATTTTTCACATGTTTTTCTCTCTCTCTTTTTTTTTTTTTTTGTAAAACTGCATGTTTCCTGTAGACTTTTTATATCCATGATTTTTTAAGCAATTCTAGTATCAAATTAGTCAAACAAATATTGTACCTGCACATCCACCAGCTAGTTTAACAAACCCTTCACTTCTTGCTCTGCTTTCGGTTCTTGGCAATTTGGCAAAAACTCTTGAGCTTAATACATTTATTCCCCAAGTAACTAGAAATTCAAAAAAAGGATATTATTTTCATAAATTGTCTTTTCAAATACTATAAAAAATTGTATTAGGAGGTGGAACAAAGATAAAAATTTAAACAAGACACGAAACGAGAAAGCTATCGAAATCTGCCAAATCACAACTGAGGAAGATGGGATGAAACATATAAACCTGGTTGATTTTCAGGTGAATCTTGGAGATGTTTCCGATAATCGATCGCTTTTCAACTCCTCTCTTTTTCCTTCAGTAATTGAACAGGTTATGTTTTCAGTCCCTCTTTTCTTGGCGGTGATTCTTTATATTTTGATAATGCTTTTATTTTACGCCCTTGATTTGTGACCTTTAATCTATGTACTTTTTTTTACTTTATTTTTTTTTAGGATTAAAGCCAACAGATCACCTAAACTGTTCTTTATTTTTTATTTAAATTTTCTTCGCCCCGGATGTAACTTCGTGCTATCTGTTCGTCTATTTGTCTTGTATTGTCATGGGTTTATGAGCCGTTACACTGTGTTGAATTTACAAGCCCGTATATGCATGCATTAATTAACAAATTATGCTTATTAATTTACGCAGGTAACATAAAAGCTTATTTTAGGTGCTTATCATACTTAATAATAAAAATGAGAGAAATTAGTTTTATCAACGGTGATCATCCTGAAATACGGCTAATTACGAACTACGCGTACCTAAATGGTACCAATATGGCTGGAAATAAGTACCTATTTTTGTTTTGTTTTTTAAAAATATGGAATGTTGGTTGGTCGTTTTTACCTGCCTTGTTACTATGTATACTTCCCACATTTTCTTAATTAACATAATAAAGAACATAAAACTGTGTCTCTAATCTCTGAATTTTAGAATTGTGCATACTATAAATTCTATCAATTGTTCTGAATGCAATTTGCAAGTAGCATTGAAGCACAAATAAATCAAATCGTATTATATATAAATTCATAGAAATGTTAATAATCCAAAACTTACACATATATACAAGTTTCATATTTTTAGAACTTATTTTTTTTAAAGAGTACGAACATACAAACGTTGGTATATCAAAACAAATAAAGTATCAAATGAGCGAGCGAAGATAGTTCTGCCGTTCCGAGGGTCTGATAACAGGGATTGGGTTTCCTATTTACAATGTATACAATCTGAATTAAATTTCGTCTAAATAATAACATTAAGACTCTTACCTCTGAAACTCTGCCATGTTGGTTCTGAAAAGAAAGTGAGAAAATGTTTTAGTCATCAAGTAAAGACTTGGAAAAAAGAAAGAACACAAATATATATAAAATATTAGCATATTTCTGGAGCAGATAATGCGAAATTACAGTAAAATTGAAATTATAGCACCTTATTATTGTAAAAAGTAATGTAATAAAATCAATAATTAATATCATTTGAATTTTAAATTTTTTAGAAAAAATTTACTTCCCCTCCGGACTTATTTTTAATTAATAATAAATTTGATTGAATTTATTATTTGATTGAAATATTTATAAATTTATGAAATATTTTTAAAAATTTATCGCTGATATTGAACTTGCGGTGGATATTCAACAGTGAAGGCCAAACATTTTCTGAGACTAGCAATGGAACAAATTTTCCTCTATGTCGGTACATTTATTTCATTCCTTAGCCCGTGTTGAACAGCCTACCCAATCCTGAGTTTACGACTATCACTGTTAAACTCCTGTTACCTTGAAAGTTTGAGCCCCATTCCAGTGTTAAATTTATCAATTTTTATCCATTTTTCTTAGCTTTAATTCAAAATAACTTTTAATTCAAAAGTTATTTTCACTTCCAGTAAAAATAAATAAATAAACCACGGGAAGGAACAGAAAATATTAATCTAAAGTAAGAGACTGTCTGTTAACTTGGTTCCGTAAGTTAAGTAATAAAGAAAAAAAATAATGGATGGCGCATAGAAAGTGTTGCAACTGATTGACTCATAGAATATATAAAAAAATATATCTATATTAATTGCTTTTTTAATAATTACGCTACAATATAGATAAGTTTTAACAATAAAGCGGAAAAGGTAATTCGTTATAAAAACAAAGTGCACCGATCCAGACATTTGACCTACATTTAAAGAGAAAAAAATCTATAAATCTTGTCTTAAGCTTAAAATGTGGGACGTTGACCCCAAGTGACCTTTCTTTCACGCATCAGTCTCACGTGCCTCCGAAGTCACGGTCATCAGGCCAACTCCCCTCTTTAAAATTATTTTCTTTTACACTTAATAAAACCTAATAAGAAATCTATTGTAAAGATGAATTCGAAATCTTCTTTGTTGATTCAGAACAGTAAAATACCTTAAATACTCCTAAATAATTCACTGTGACGCTGAATCGAATGTAAAAAGGCCAAAGCCTAATTTTATAACAGCCGACACAATTTTGGGTTTACGACTACCAATATTCAACTCTGCAGCCTTGTAATTTTGAACCCAATTCAGAAGACGAGGGCGCTCCTGGATCAAGTATTGAGAGAAATTTGCCTTCGTGGGGGACTTTTTGAGGGAACTAACCCGCATTTGCGTTACATAGAGAGGAAAACTACGAAAACCTCCGATGGTTAGCCTGATGGCAAGGGGACTCTACCCCATGATCCGTGAGCACTGAGGTCCGTGTGAGCCGGGTACAGAATTCGTTTTGACCAGCCACCGCTGGGATTTGAACCCGAAACGCCTCATCGGGAGGCGCGCGCTCTAACCCTTTAGCCACCACTACTCAAGAGTTTAAGATTACAGTGTTACTTATTACTTAACCTCCTTCGTTGCATGATTGTTTTGAAAATAAATAAATGATCAAATTAAAACCGCTTAAGTCCGTTTTGCATCGCTAGCTTTAGGCCTTGTTGCAAAAAATTACCAGTTACGTATTATTTCTTGTTTTATTAATTAACTTATTAGTTACGGTTTCAGATATTTTTTCAATGAAGCATGTTACCAATGATGGAAGTCTAATCCAGCGCAGTTCCCAAATGGTGGTCTCGAAAGAGTTAGAGATTCCAAAAATGTCAAAACGTCTTTTTTTTTTTAATTAATTTATTTATTTTTAGATCCAATCAACAATCCGTTATTTTCTAATTACTTCAATTGCCTTTAGGAAATTACATTTAAAGTAAAATACGAAAGCAAGAGAAATGAATATTATGAAAAATGGCTGTATAAAAAATGGCTGTAGTATTTCACATTGCGCTTTTCAAAGCAAAATAAAATAGCTGATTTTTTGCTAAGAAAATTTTTTTTCTAAATAATAATTTTAAACGTTAATAACAACTTTTTTTTTATACCAATATGAAAAATTTTCTAGACTAGATTTACCTCCAGGACTTCGAATTCAGCTGCCGAACATAAAACCCTAATTTAAGATTATTAATGATAAAACAATAAAAAAATTATCTTATTAACTTATAAATCAATAAAAAGAATCATCTTATATTAAATGTAAAAATGTCTAACAATCAAAATAAAATAGTCTTTTAATGGTTAATACGTATACAATTGTCTTTATTTAATTATTTAGTTGGGGTTCCGCCGGAAGAAGCGTGATTATTTAGGATTCCGCAGTCGAAAAAGATATGGAACAGCTGTTCTAATCATTCAAAAACAAGAGCACATAAAACAATTCCCGCAGTTTTTTTTTTCTTGAAACAAATATGGGATTTAAAAATTTATGGTTTTTAAAGAATTTCCTATATAAATATGAATGTGCGAAAAAGTTGGAGATTCTTGCTCTTGATCAACGTTCGAACAATCAAGCACTGATGAACCTTAAACATAATTATATCTTCGTTTAGTTTTTGCGATTCTAGAATTGTCATATGAAAGCGTGTGCAATTGCAACTAAATATTAATTTACGTGCTTGTTTTCAACCTAATTGGAGAAAAAAAATATGGTAATATTGCAATTGAACTTGAAATCCTTCCTGCCTTCCTGAAATCATATATAAATAACATTTATAAAAATTTGTGACTGTGACCTTTAACTTAATTGAATGTGAATGACATACAGGAACAGAGGGAAGTAGTGAAAATAACATAGTTTTTTTTTCGCCTTCGAATAAAGATAGTCTTTAGTTAGAATTAATTATATGCCTCTTTCATTAAAATATTTATTTGTGCTTATTTTCATCTGAAGGCTACACTTTTAGAAAGAAATTGTTTCCTTGAACCTCTTGAGTGATATTTACAAAAACTAAATCATCTGAGCCTGTTAATTGTACTGAACTTGAAAAAGATAATTTAATGGACAACACAGTTTATTCAACGCTTTTATTTATTAATTAATTTTTATATATTTTTGTCAAAACAATCATTGTTTTACATTCTCAATTTATTTGTCCTATTTAGAGTTCCTATAACTAACTGTTCAATTTAATTAACAAACTATGCCTAACAAAATTAGACATAGAAACTCTAGTTTTATTTAGCTAGAAAATAATTCGTTTCGCTCTTTTCAGGCTGTTAGAATGTTTTTATTTATTTTATTTATTTAATTTTAATTATTATTTATTTATTTATCTAATTTTATTTTTTTTATTTTATTTTATTATTTTTGCTTGCAACTGGAACGTAAAGTAAGCAATTAACGCACATGTAGGGTTCAGCAAAGGAAGTTAGTTGACATTTGGGGAAAGTTTTTTATCTTTCTAAAACAATTACTTATATACTGAGTTCGTTATTTTAAATCTTTTTTTAGAGTACTTACAACTAACTGTAGTTCGATATAGTTAAATATATCTAACAAAGTTCGATATAGAAACTAAAGTTTCAATTAGCGGAAAAATTAATTATTAGTTCCGCACTTTCCAGACTGTCGATATGTTTTATTTATTATTTTTATTATTTTTCCTTTATTTATTTTTGCTTGCAACCGTAACGTAAAGTATGCAATTAACGTATAAACGTATATGTATCAAGGTGGCAAGTTGACATTCGGGAAAAATACTGTTCTTTATTAATTTTCTTAGATATTTTAGATATTTTCTTATTTATTATTATATTTTAAATATGGAAACTGTTAAATAAATTCGGGAGATATTTTTTGGAAGGAACATTCTATTAAAAAAAATTTTGGAAAATAAATTAAGGTAATTTTTTTTAGCCAAATTTATTGTAATTCACCATCTCTCTACCTCAAATTTTACAGTTTGACAGGATGACAGGAACACTAACGAAGCTGACTAGTGTGAAACAATTGGAGAAAAATCAATCATTATACACAACTGTCGACTAACTAAATGAAAAATACTTAAAGTGAATTTTTTTAGACGTTCTGAGCACCTGTTTTTGAACCCTTTAAATAAATCAATGTCATGAATCCAATACAGTTAAATAAAAAAAAGTCAAAAGCAGGTGGGAATAGATCACACAGTATGTTGAATCTCATAACAATACTGCAGGTGTTCTACTGTTCTCAGATTTAACTGACACACGCACCTGATTATTACAAATTCAAACAAATTTCTAAGAAAAGAGATTCTGAAATGATTAAATGAACTAATTATTGTTACATATGCTACTTTTAATGTACTTATTTCAATTATTAAAATATCAAGTAAAAACATTTGTAACAAAGTAAATTTTGCATAGTGTTTGATTGTTGATTTATTGTATATGCTTTAATATCTAACTCATTATTACAAATGTTCACAAAACACCTCATATATATCATACCAGAACACTTTTAACACGAAATCGCAGATCGGGTGCAGTAAATCTCCTGCGTTTTAATATTATCTTAAGCAAATCAATTGTTGAACACAGAAATCACAAATCAAGTATATATTTCCAATCGCTTTTGAAAAAAAAGAACAAATATCACAAATTTATTATTAAGAAGCATTAATCACTATGTCTTTCTTCTTTCAGTTATTTGAAATTCAGAAACAAGTTCTGTAAGAGACTATTACTAGATGATAGGTAAGTTGAAAAAATGTGCAAATATATAGTTTTCTTTTTTTAAAAAAAAGTCATTATCTTCCAGATAAACTTATCTTAACGTTTCTCCCACACAACTTCACATTCGTTAATTCCATACGGGTAAGTTTTGTCAACTATCATTCAATTTCCATGGATCTTGTTCGACAGTGGCGTAAATAACACCCGCGGATGAGGGAAAACACGTAATTTGAAGGTGCACTTGCTGGAAGCAATTACACTTATAAGTCAAAACTTAAATAACTTACATAATTGCTGCGAAATTGAATAAGGAGAAAGAGTAACTTTGTTAAAAGCTTAACTCTAATAATTGAAAATATATGGTTTTTTTTTCTTGTCTGGGAAACATTCCTGAGGATGATCCGAGGACATGCCATCGCCATTTTGATGCTCTGCAGAGGGGATGGCTCCCTTAATTTGGTTACCCAACGACCTGCTCTTGGAGTCTAGCACATTCCGGTAGAACAGTTTAACGAGGACCGATACCGGGCACCCTTGGTCCCTGCGCAGGCTGATCAAAGTGGTCACCAACTGACCGCAGCCAGTGATGCTTGACTTCGGTGTTCTACAAGGAACCCAGACTTTACGATCAGTCTACTGCGGGACATTAGCGATTTTAGATAAACATTTTGTAGCTTAAATGCATTACTTTCAGTGAAGTCTACACACCATAATATTGATGATAATACAGGCCAACACACGATTTTCTATCTAAGATTTTTTTCAGTCAATTTTCATTATAACTAAGGACTAATCTCAAAGAAGCAAACAATTTTTTTCTATCAGCTCTTCTTTTAGAAATAAGCTTTAATTTTAAAGATTTTTATTGGTAGATACTTTGTGGAATTGGCAATTATGCAATTTTCAAGGTCCCAGATGAATGTTATTTTTGTTGACTGAAATTAAAAGTTAATTGTTTATATTTTGATGCGCTAATTTAAAATAATAATAGCAATAATTGCCTCCCTTAGTTAGAAAATTCGTCGTGGCTCTAAAAAATTTAGTAATTATGGGAGTACTTTCAACAATAAACATAAATACACTAAAACTCCAAAGTTAAAATGATTCAATATACTGCAGTATTTGAAGTATATCAGTGTTTGAAGGCACTCATCTTTTGGGTTGGGCTCAAAATTATAAGGCTATGGAGATGAACTTCGATATAGCAGCGAACGACTACGCTTGTTCCTCAATAGCTCTCCATAGCGCGTAGAAATTCATTTTAAACTGGTTTTTCCTGTTCAATTTTTGTTCATCTTTGTTTTTGTTTCAGTCTTGGCTACTCCTTTTTTTAGTTTCTCACATTAATTTCCCATTTTTCGTTGTCAGATTTACGTTTTATATTTCATATTACGTTTCATACTTTCGTTTCCTCTCATTCAGGTCTAACAAATCTTGAGAATAGGTGGTTATTTTTGAGCAGACTTCAATTTCCACCAGTATATTGTATATTTTTAAAGCCAGTGTAGTTTTTTTAAATTGACTTACCGCTTCAGTTTCTTTGGATTACTTATTCAATAGCTAAAACCTGTTTGTAAAATATCACTCACACTTTTTTCTTTATTTTAACAGCAAATTTTGCATATTTCGCAATCTAGATATGATGAATCTTCAAAAAATATAGCTGATAAAACATTATTTGCATGTTTGCAAATAGCGGAACGCAAATAGTCGTAATAAATTTGAAAACTTTAAATACAAACTATGTAATTGATACCCTCTATTTGCGGTGAAATTGTATTTAAAAAACAATGCACCAGTCAGTGTTAATCATTTGTAGTGTGACTCATTACATTATATTTGTGTTAAGTTTTGTTGCGTATTTCTAAGTAATTTATTCCTTGTTGATGTTGCATTAAAAGCGGTAGGTTTTTCGAAATATTTTTTAAATCGCTACTCTGGTATCATGTTTACTACACATTAGTTAATTAAAATTAAAAATTTTTAAATTTTTGTTAAGATCCTATAGAATGTGGGAAATGCTTTTAAAGTTATACAGACCTGTTTAGACTTAAAAAACAACAAAAAAACAGGGGAGCGGGGAATAATTTTTTTTTAAATATTACTTTTTCATTTCCCTCCTTGCTTTAAATACAAATTCTTGATTATTACTGAAAAGAATTTAGCCAACTGAACTGCGTAGGGGCAGGGAACTGGCCTTGCATCTGAAAGGTCCTAGTTCGAATCCCGAACAAGGCATGGATGTTCTTTCATTCTCTGTACTATTTGTCCTCACTATGGGAGCAACGTTGGCCGACCTAATATGGTGCCCCTGAAAGAATAGCCAACAAATCTAACCTAATACGCCTGAATTAACGAATGTCAACCCAGGTGGGCATTGGAAGAAAAAAAAAGAATTTAGCAAAGTTACCTTATATCCAAATCTTAGTTTTTTTTTTTATTATTATTATTATTATTTTTTTTTTTTTACTTCAAACATCACAGCCATTATTTATATTTATTAAAGTATAGTTAAGACAGTTCTGGAGCTAAGCACTCCTTCAAACAATGTTTCTTTTTCGCAAAAATTAGGTTGTGATATAACATGATATAAATCTCTAAGACTATGCTTAATTAGGCAAAAGAGAGAGTATTTGCTTCGCTTTATTTTGCTATTTGCTTTGCTTCATATTAAGTTTTCGAGACTACCTCTGAATTACAGAATCCGGTTAAATTCAAGTTACAAAATTCTTTAACATACTTTTTGTAAGCAGCCTACTCCAATTTTATACATAAATGTCACTTTCCGGAATTTTTATTTATTTATTTTTTCTTTGAAATACAACAATACAATATTTAACTTGGCCATTTTTGGTTTTAAAAGAAAAAAAATTATTTCGGAACAACTAGCGCGAAATTCTTTTTAACAAAACTTTGTTGTCTGAATAAAACATGAAGATAAAATAAGTTTATCTGGTAAATGAAGAAATTTTTCTGTAAAATGAAAATAATGTGGACATTCTTTAACTACGCGGTCTTTATGGATTTTTTTTTCACATTTTATAGAGCCCTAGTTATAGCACCAGTTTTTTTTTTTTTTTTTTTTTTTTTTTTTTTTTTTTTTTTTTTAAATTCGAAATTACCCTTAATCGGAGTATTGCTTCAGAAAAATGTTAATCTCACTACTGTCAGAGGTACAAGTAATTTTTCTCCACTCCTTTACGTCGCCTTCTTTTTCTCCCTTTTGTTTTTACTTCAAACATATAGTTTGCCTATAGAAATATGATTGCTTTCGTCTAATATCAATATTTGAAATCACCTAATCTATTAGTTGCAATTCTTTTTTTAATAAAAATTTTTGTTTTTAAAAAATCTAGGGATTCTAAATCAGTTTCACATGTCTATCGCCTCCTAAATCTGTTCCAATCGCAAGAACCATATGAAATAATAGATTTAAGAAATTTTCATTTATGTAATCCTCAAATAGTGATTACATTTTGATTAAAAGCATAATGATCTATTTGTCTTTCTCATTTTACAAAAATATCTAAGAACAATTTTGTTTAACGTTGTTTAATTTTGTAGCTTCCACTTTTCTTTCTGAAAATTTAATCGTTTTGCAAACTTAACAAACACCACACCGATTATTTGCAATAATATTTAAAATTTATTTATTGTTGAATTTAATTTATTGATAATTGCTTTTCGTTTCTCACTCATAATAAATATTTTAAAGATCGCAAAACTAATTTGAAAGAAATTGCGAATATATTTTCTGTCTACGTTTCTAGGAAATACTGAAATAAATGTACAACGAGATTTTCTTTAATAGAAATTTAAGTACTGAATCGGTAAAATTAATACTGCAGTAACAGGAATAGTAGCTGAAAGAATTAAGAGTCCAAACTAGTTTTAAACAAACTGCAAACGATTTTCATACTCTTTGATCTGTCAATATTTCTAAGAAACAATGGAATAAATGACATTCTTTTCTCACATATAAAAGAAAGAATAAGGTTAACTTACCCGATTCAACAGAAACCAAAATTGCTGCAACAAGAATCCAGCTAAACGCAGAAATCCACATTTTGAAAAGTCCAACTATCGCGAACTGAACAAAACCGAGAAATGATAAAAGAAGTTACGGAATCGTCTGCTCTGTCAGCTGAGGCCTCTCTACTTCCGAAAACAGTCTCGGTCAGAATCTATTTTATCTTTCTCTTGTATGTCCGAGTTCGTCAGAGGACAGGATATTCCACGAGCATATTCAGTCATTCAAAGTTACTGCGTCATGATGATGAGGGGGAAGTTGGAAGTTACTGGAAAAATTAGCTTGTTAATCCGACAGCGAACTTCGAAATAAGGAAATGGTTCTTTTTTTCTTTCACTATGCCCTCGTGATCGAAGTGAGAAAGGTGACAAATTTATTTTAGTGGGTCAAACAGATTCTATTTGAAGAGAGGTGAAAGTGATTTTAATAAAAAGAAAAATTAACGAATATCCTTTTTTTTCTTCCGGGTTTGCGACTTTTATTCTTTTACGCTGATTGTTAAAAATTGACACATTGTTCATAACTAATAACAAATCAGGATAAGGAAATTCCGCAATAAATGGATAAAAATAAACTCAAATAAAATAAATAAATTCAGTCGCTCAATGTTTTTTAGACTGGTTCTTTACACACTTACCCCATTTTTAATTCAGATTTTTTTTTTTAATAAAATAAACTAACACTCAACTATATGTAGAATAAAATTATAAAAATTAGGCAAATTTCACTATGGATTTTATTTTATGTTTTTATACTTAGCTAATAATGAGTTTGAATTTAAATAGCGAATGACCAACTGCGATTAAAAATATAGGTGTTTCGTACTGATCACCATTATTATATTTTTTAGAATCCTTGTCAAAACTGAAATAAAAAAAAGTACACATCTTGTATATAAATTATCGATAAATTATACATAAATTAATATTTAAGCGAAAAAAGTCAAAATTACTATCGAAATCTGAATCGGACAAATCACTTTTAAGGAAGTCTAGTGTAAAAACATCAAAACCTATTTGATTGCTGGTTGAAAGCGTTTCTAATAGACGATTCTTAACTCCTCTGCCTTTTTGCGCAAACAAATTTTGATATTTTAAATTTCGCCGTTTTTTATAGCAATTCTTCAGATTTCAATATCGTTAATATTTTTTCCTCGATTAAATATTATTTGCTAGCGATATTATTTCTTTCTTATTTTTTACTTATATAATAGTAGAAAAGGTTTTGAGTTGTAGTTGATTTACGTCGCACTGGAGCTGCACAATGGGCTATTGGTGACGGTCTGGGAAACATCCCTGAGGATGATCCGAAGACATGCCATCACAATTTTGATCCTCTGCAGAGGGGATGGCACCCCCGCTTCGGCAGCCCGACGACCTGCACGCGAAGACGAGCACTTCACGGTAGAACAGTTTAACGAGGACCCATACCGCACACCCTCGATCCCTACGCAGACTGATCCAAGTGGTCACCCACCCGCACACTGACCGCAACCAGTGATGCTTGACTTCGGAGATCTGCTGGGAAAAGTGTCTTAACGATCAGTCCACTGCGGGACTAAAAAATGTTTTGAATAATAAGGCAAACAAATTTGAACGTAATTTCATGAAGAAAAAAAAAATTTCTACGGACAAAATCCAAAAATTATCATCCCATTAATTATTTTATCCCCATTAATTAATTTCTATGAAATCAAATTCAAAAATTCTGATGATATTCTTAGAGATTTATTTCTCGAGAACTATTCGACCGATTCTGTTTAAATATTGAATTTTGTCATTTAAAATCAAATAGCTTAAGTTGATGTAAAAAAACTGTACACCTTACAATCCAAAAAGTTTTGGCCAATTTTAAATTAAATATCTGCTTCCTATAAAAAATAATTTTTCATAAGTTATCTGTTACATTTCATTCATAAGTTATCTGTTACATTTCATTCATAAGTCATCTGTTACAATCCAAAAAATTTTGGCCAATTTTAAATTAAATATCTGCTTCCTATTAAAAATTAATTTTTCGTAAGTTATCTGTTACATTCAATAAAATATTAATTCTTGCATGCATAAAATTCAAGGAATTTGGAATAGGGAACTGAACGAAAAATAAATTGGTTTTAGTGAATTGGTAGTGTAGTCGACTGATTCTGTTGAAACATTAAATTTTGTCATTAAAAATTAGAAGGTTAAATTGATGTAAAAAATTGTACACCTTACAATTCAAAAATTTTTCTAATTATTAAACTAGCTGCTTCGTGTTAAAAAATTTAAATTTAGTAACTATTTATTATTTTTCATTATTTTATTAAATAATAGTCGAAAAAATCTTGAATTGTACGATTTTAAAATTTTTACATAATTTTAAATGGCAAAATACAAAATAGGAAGCGAAATTGGTTAATTAGTTGCTGAGAAATCAAATTTTAAATACACGGCTTTTTTATAATTCGATTTCTCAGGATTTGATTTCAATTCAACTGATTTCGCTCAAATTTTGTATTTTGTCATGTTTTTCTTTCTTTTTTTTAAATAATAATGGCAGGCACTGAACTTTCGTTCTTCGCATTAGAAGATGCCAGAAGTGTCGCTCATTTATCGTTACCCAGTGGGCACCTGTGAACCAAAGTCACGGAGGCGAGCAGCATTACCCGCGCCACACTGCCACGAATACATACACATTCATACATTCACACATGAGAAGACAACACAGAGAGAGAGAAGTATCCATGCCCAGAACGGGATTCGAACCCGCAGCCATTGGCTTCTCAGTCAGGCACGCTAACCACTCTGCCACCTGGCCGGCGTATTTTGTCATGTAAAATTACATACTTTAAAATTATATTAAAAAAAATGAATACTTAAAAATTCAAAATTTTTATGACTATTAATAAATAAAATAATAATAAAATATTTTGCATGAAATTATCATCGAATCTCATTTATTGCGCAAAATTTTTTCAATTAACTTAAAAAGTTCTCGAAATATGGCGAAATACGCACTAAGTAAAATTACCATTAAGGCAGCCAAACTTTGGAGCACTCTCCTGACCAAACACTTAGGACCATATTTCCCTATTCCCTTTATTTTTTGGACTTAGAAATCCAAATCAGTTGAGAAAAAAGTGAGTTTATTCAAAGACAGTAGGTTTTTGTGTCTGATATCGTAACTTAAAATGTCGTCTGCACTAATTAATTAGCATATTTAAATTCACACCCTCGAACCATCAAGATTGAGTCATAGAACGTGTAGATCCGATCATAAAATCAAAAATTATTCAGGGTGGTTCGTTTTTTCCCCCCGCATTATACACAAGTTATACAATAATATCACGGTTTAAATAATATAAAATAAATAACACAAATAATATGATGTCCATACAATGAGAGTATGCGAGTCGTGGTGGCTCTGGAGATAGAGCTCTCACCTTCCAATGAGGTGAACCAGGTTTGAATCCCAGAGATAGCTGTTCAATACAAGTTCCGCAACCGGTTCGCACCGACCACAGTGCTGACGTGAAAATATCCTCAGTGGTAGACTGCTCATAGGTTAGAGTTTCCTTGCTGTCAGGCTAACCGTGGAAGGTTTTCGTGGTTTTCCTTTCCATGTAACGCAAATGCTGGTTAGTTCCATCAAAAAATCCTTTACGAAGGCAAATTCTCCCAATACATGATCCAAGGGTTCTCTTGGCTCATAATTACAATCCGGTTACATAATTGGGCTCATAATTACAAAGTTACAGAGTTGAACCTTAGTAATCGTAAACCCAAAATTGGGTAGGTAGTTCAACAACGGTTATAAAATAAAATGAGTGCATGCATGTACTGTGAGCAAAATAAAAAGGACATCACCGGGAATAACTTTCACTCTGATGATCGGAATTTCAAAACTAAGTGTCAATCTTAATGGTTTCTGGGGGCAACCTCAAAAATGCTAATTAATTAGTGCTATTTATTAATTGGGTTTCAGAAATCATGCACAAAAGCGTACTTTCTCTGAATAAATATATGCATTGTTCATACTTAATTTGATTCCTGATCCTTAAAATATGAAGGGAGGGTAGCCTCAATCTAAGAATTTTGTCGTCCTAATAGTTTAACCAGGAAACCGGATGAAAGATTGGTCCCTTTTATCTTAATTTTACTTTTTGCACTGCCGGCCAGATCTTTAAAAACTAATTACGTAATTTTAAAAAAAATGCACCTATTAATGAATTGTTAAACCCAAGATAGTTCCGCGCAAAAAATTTATTTTTAATTATTATTTACTAGCCGCCTAAGGCGGTCAGTTGCACTTTTTGAGGGTGAAATAGCCA